CGCTTTTGTGACGCCGGATGGTTTATATGAATTTAAAGTTATGCCCTTTGGTTTGTGCTCAGCGCCCGCTACTTTTCAAAGGCTCATGGGCACTGTACTTTCAGGGTTAAAATGGAAGACCTGTTTAGTTTATCTAGACGACGTCATAGTGTTTTCCCCAACTTTTGACGAGCATCTCAAGAGACTAGCCCCCCTAATCACAAACGGTCCTCGACTCGACTTTCACCCTTCACTTGACAGAGTTGAGCACTGCGCCGCTGCTCGGCTGAAAATGACGCTGTGCTACTAAAAAATAGCAGCAAATCATCACTGATATGCAGTGACTTGCCCTGCCTAGAGATGGCGCTCCCATCGGCTTTCTCAAGTGAAGGTGGAGCGTTGAGTGAAGGGGCGTTCTAGAATACGGGGGTAAAAGTTGTTTTACGAGCCATACGCTCCGCAGGCCTCACATTGAAACCAGAGAAATGCCACTTTTGTTTTGCAGAACTGCTGTTTCTTGGTCATGTCGTCAGCTGCACCGGCGTTCGGCCTGATCCCGAAAAACTTGCGGCCGTGGCACAGTTCCCAGTATCGTGCGATAAGAAAGCTGTCAGGCGTTTTCTGGGCCTATGCGCCTACTATCGCCGGTTTAGAGCCGACTTCGCACGGATTGCGTGGCCGTTAACTCGCCTCACTAGAGACGACGCTACCTTTGAGCGGAACGATGAACAGCAAGCAGCGTTTAATGACCTCCGCCAACTTTTTCAAACACCTCCAGTGCTTGCCCACTTCAACGAGCAAGCGCCAACAATGCTTCACACTGACGCAAGCAATGTAGGCCTCGGAGCTGTGCTTGTACAGTGGCAAGGAGACACGGAACGAGTGATCGCCTACGCAAGCAGGACGCTAACACGCGCTGATGCCAATCATTCAACAACTGAGAAAGAATGCCTCGCCGTGGTCTGGGCAGTTATGAAATTTCGCCCGTATTCGTATGGCCACCCCTTCAAAGTTATTAGTGACTATCATTCACTCTGTTGGTTGACTAATTAAAGAGATCAAACCGACCAATTAGTGCGGTGGAGTCTGAAGTTACAAGAGTTCGATATGACGGTCATACACAAGTCTAGGAAGCGACATACGGACGCCGACTACCTGTCTCGATCACTAGTACAGTCAGCCTCTCTTTCTGATGATGACGATATGGCCTTCCTTGGTGTTCTTTACGCTTCCACGATTGCTCAACAACAACGAGGCGACCCTGAATTCGTCTTCCCTTCCCTTCCCACGGCCGGGAAGGGAAGACGAAAATAGTGTGATCGCTCTTTTGAGTCGAGAGATGTTCAAGAATACGAAAGTAGTAATATCAGAAAATGGGCCAGCGTTTCTTAGTCAGCGTTTGCAAGATTGGGCGAAGGAACGAGGAGTTGTATTGCGATGCTGTGCTCCGTACCATCCTGCAGGAAATGGCATGGCTGAAACAATCATTCGGGATTTGAAGCAGGTCACTTCAATGTATCCGGGTTTACAGGGTGGATGGAAGTGCTGCTTGGAGGCAGCAGTCGCTCATCACAATCGGTCGCACACTGCAAGCATCGACTGTAGCCCATATTTTGCAGCTATCGGAAAGGTACCAGGGATTCCTGCTGATCAAGAACTTTGCATTGCAGACCGCCTGAAATTGTGCGAAAAACGAAAAACTTTGGAATCCTACCAGCGATACCGGGGAAATATGAAAAGGAACTTTGACCGCCACAACAACACGTGGATACCTCACATACAACTGAACGATCTGGTGCTCATCAGAAAAGGCCTTCCCGGCACAAAGCAGGTGTACATGGGACCTTATCGCGTGGTGCAGGTCGCAGTGCAACATGACGTTCTCAAAAGGGTCGGTTACACCAACGATGATGGTATGCTAGAGTTTGCGACCATTGGAAACGTTTTCATGTATCACCCCAGGAGGGATGAGTCTTCAAAGAGGGGGAGTGTACGTGGACGTTAGGCAGGGTTGGAGGGAGACGAGGAGGAAGAAGGTGTTAGAAATAAAGAAGATGGCTGACACCCCAGCCTAGTACTGTGTACTATTACTTTCCATAACCCCCTTAACAGCCTAATTCGTCGTCTTCCCGTGAGCGGGAAGACGACAATGTCCCACAGCCATTCGATTTACATTCATTCCTGATCTACGGAATGAACATTTTCTTAGCGAACTTGGGTGACTTTTCGCGTATCTGTCTATCTAACTATCTAGCCACCTACGACTTTTAGCTCTCCTGGCCGTTTCGATTATGGTATCAATGCTGATATTTGTATGGCATAACATGATTGTACGACGAACATAAGTGACTATTCAAACATGAAAACCGTGACTTGTATGTCATAAATGTAATGATTTACATTTCATGATCTTGCTGCACTTGCGGTGGTTTCGTTCACATGACATATTGCTAAACTAGTATGGTATGACATGACTGCATGACGAACGTAAATGACAGACCCCAACGTGGAAGTCATGACGTTCACGTAAGTCATGAGTATACACGCCACGCTCATGGTGCGCTCGCGGTCGTTTCGCTAGCGTCACATATAGCGAATTTGGTATTACGGGACGTGAATGGATGACGAAGGTATATGACTGGAGCAAACATGATGATCATCTCATACGTGTCATGTGCGAACATGACAACATGTCACGCTCATGATGCGCTCGGGGCCTTTTCACTAGCTTCATATGTATCAAATTTGGTGTTACGTGACGTGAATAGACGAAGATTATAAATGACACGTCCAAACATTATAATCATGACATGCGTGTCATGTACAACATGAATGCATGCTACGCTGATGGCGTGCTCGTGGCCTTTTCGCTAGCTTCACATATACCACATTTGGTATTAGGTGACTTGAATGGACGGCGAGCACAAATGCCAGGCGCGAACATGATAATCATGACATGGAAGTCATGTACAGCGTAATTTACTTTCGCCTCATAACGTTGTGCTGATTTTGATGTGACAATTCAACCTTCCTCATTCGTGCTTCGCACATCATCGATTCCCACGGTACATGGGATCTACCAATATTTCCTTGTACCTCCATATATCTATCTCCCTCATTTACCCATAATCCGAGGTACTTGTACTCGCTTACCCTCAGTATTTCTTGGTTCTGTATTGAGAGCGCCTGGTTTTCATGACTGTTAAATTTGATCAATCACCATTTTTTTTTCACTAAATCCTAGTCGTCTTCCCTTCCGCATATATCTGCCGGCCGCTGTATATCGTCTTGGCTGTCCGCAAATGGAGCAATATCGTCTGCATAAAATAGAGCCTGGAAGCTTCTGCTCAACGATCGCGCCAGCCTGTTTGTGTGACAGATGAAACCCAATGTTGCTACCGTTTAGCGCACGTTGGCCGTGGCGCATCTGACGGCTAAAAGCAGAGTGCGAGACCGGGCCCCAGGTATTCTTGCAGCATGATACCTGCACGTTTAGCGCGCCCCTTGTGTTTAGCTGTAGCGCTCGTTCTCTTCGTGCGTTCCATCTTCTTGATCAGTGCGGTGCACGTTTCAATCTGGTTGCCGCTCTTCGCGTGGCATTCCAAGTTGTTGCTGCTACTTTTTCAGCACCATCCGCTGCTTCACCACTCAGCTCGTCTGAAGGTGAGATGTGTCGCAGCTGTTCAAGTGTTGGAATATACAATAAGCTTCGCTCGGGATCTGGCGACGTATTTAAAGGGACACTAAACTTAAACAGCAATTTACGTCAGAAAGAAAGCTCACTGTATGACAACGTATAAAACGACAATAATATCAACAAAATTAAGTGGAATACTTACCGAAAAATTAGGGTGAATGCACAAAAATACTTTCGCCACGAACATTTTCATAGTGATAACGGTGACGCCAAAAGAACCGCCTACAATTAATCACTACTAATAGATCTAGCTGCAATAAATAAAGAACCTTTCGTGCATCAAGAGACGCACTAAAATGCTGCTTGTTCGTTTCTGTTTGATTCGTAGAAAAAAAATTCCGCCATATCCACGAAGTGAATGATGATGAGTGGGCGAAGCTCCGGAGGTAAACCTGGTAAGCCATGAATCCTCTGTACATTTTGCCCACTCGATTTTATTACATCGCTCCCCCTAGCGTACGTCGCCGCACTAAATCGAACGATTGCCTTCAACCAATGACACGCGCCATATGTGACATCATTCCTATTTTATAAGATCTCGCGTCTTTCATCAACTACAAGTACCGCTTTCTAGTTTATAACATCTTGCATCTTTTCATCATCAGCTACAAGTACCACCATCTAGTAAACACTACAAGAACTAAACGAGAGGTGGCTACATACAGGAGACGGTACCGCCATCTAGTGAACACTGCAAGAACTAAACTAGAGGTGGCTACATACAGGGGACCGTACCGCTATCTAGTGAACACTGCAAGAACTAAACTAGAGGTGGCTACATACAGGCTACAGGGGATGCACAGCCCACGCCCTAAGGAGCTTCGCCCCTAAAAAGAACCACCGGACGTTACTATAGAGAATGCCGCGAAGGGTTCGAAAATTCAATTTTCGGGTGGTTAAACTGGACAGGTCATGTCATCTAACAGAGCCGAGTTGAACGAAAACACGCCTGCCATTTCGGAACCAACGGCAGGAAATCGATCAATGGCTCTTGTTGCTGCTGTGGCTCCCGCTGAACCCGTTCTGTCTACTAGTGTCGGGGACCGCGCGTGCAGTAAAGCCAGACAACGTTCTGTACGGCAACAACGGCCACAGTGTGGTGAGGCGATCCGCTCCTTGAGGCAGGTAATTTGAAGTGCTCTAATCCGATGCGGGCCACTAAAACGTAATCTTATTTCAAAATAATCCTGGCGCAAAAGTAACACTACGAGGTTTCTGGACCACTATTTCAACGATCAACGTTGACTTAATAGTTGCCTCTAAATATGAACACGTTGCAAACGTTTTTCAATCATCGACAGATCAGCGGAATCAGTTCACCCACCTATTACGATCGACGCAGCAGGAACGAGGAAGGTTGCCAAGACAATGAGTGCGAAGACACCTGAAAACAAAGAAGCAGTGAGTTTGAAGGAAGGACGCACTTGCAGCGTGCGCTCACCGTGGCTCAAGCAGAGGGTCCACACAGCAGCCGCCACCTCCTTGGGGTTCTCCTCACGTGCTTGCCGTAGGCGCTCGAGCACAGACTCGTCTGGGAGTGAAGTGATGCTTTTAGTGCAATTGAGGCGTTTCTATTCTAAAGGAGCCAAATGCAGAAACCGAAAGTGGGCTGAATTTCAGTGCGACGTAAAGCACGTATATGCAATTTCCAAAACAGTTATAATAAAAATTGGGCATCCACTTATTGAAACGTGAGATTGAAAAGGCAGTTTCTAATGAAAATAAGACAAGTACACCAACTGTTTCAATCAAAGTGAGCCACATTCAATTAATCAGCACTGCGCCAACAAACATGATCAAAACAACCAACATTGTTCCTCCCACAATGTTTCAATTCTGTTTTAGTAGCTTTGTTATCGTGTTTACGTTTCACAATTAGGTTTTCTAGCGCGAGTTGTTACTTACTGAATGACGTGGTGTCCAATGACAAAACTCGATTGTAAAGAGTAAGAGGCTAACTTGCCTACTTCTTTTTGCATGTTAGTGATTCTTTTCGACTAAACGCAACAGTATGTTGTCGTCAGTTCACTTCGACACGGTATATTTCAAATAAAATAGGCATGAAGTAAAGATACCGGGCGTCTATATATTCCCTAAAGAAGAAGGAATGGTAAGAAATGGCATGGCATGAAAACAACTGGAACACTTTCATGGCCTTCCGTTGATGCCAGGAACAACAAAACGCTGATGACAGTCCAGAATAGTGCCCCTTTTGCTAGGAAGGAACAGTTGCTCTTCAAGTTTAGTAATAGCCATTACGCCCATGCGTCGAATCACGGCAGCGACAGCGATGAGGGCACACCTATGATGTCAATTCTATCGCGAAATATTGCTATACTGTACATTCGAACCGTCTTACACCTATCGAACTACCTAATTCATGTCCAAATGAAATGTTTCAACCTATTTGAGCCAAATACAAACTTCCCTCCACAATACTGCCGCTGTTTGGCTATGTAGAGTTTAGCCAAGTTAGAAGTTTGTGGCATTTATAGGAGAGGAACATTGTGGCAAAAAGTTGTTTCAGCAGGACTAACCAGATTGTCAGTAGAAAAAAAGTGCATTTTTCTCAGTTTCAGTGCATTTGACTTCTTTAGAAAAAAAAAAACACTTTAATTCTTTTAAGCGCGTTCAGTTGGACTTGGGAAAAGAAGAACCGAGAAATTAAAGTTTTATTGGTGAATTCAGGGAGAATTGGGTACTCCGCTCAGGGCTGCACTGCCTTTCGTGATCCTGGACCGCCTGCTGCTGTTTCTGCCGGCGTCAACTGAGACTCCCAAGAGGATTAAGGCGTGGGGACGGAAGAATTGAATACAGAGAGCATTCGACACTCTGTCTTCTATAGACCACAATACACTCTTCTAACTTCACTACCTAAAGTACAATACCTATATCTGCTCCTGTTCAGTATATATAGCGAGCGAAGGCACCAAGGGGTAGGATCAGTATCATCATCATCCCCATCATCAGCCTAGCTACGACCACTGCAGGATAAATGCCTTTCCCATGTTCCACCAGTCAACTTGATCCTGTGCTTGCTGCTGCCACTTTATACCCGCAATCGTTTATTCTCATCCACCTATCTTACTTTCTGTCTCCCCATTAACCCGCTTGCCTTCTCTGGGAATCCAGTCAGTTATCCTTAATGACCATCGGTTATCCTGCCTACGCGCTACATACCCAGCCCATGTCTTCTTGATTTCAACTATGATATCCTTAACCCTGGTTTGTTTCCAGACACACTCTTCCATATTCTTGTCTTTTAAGGTTACACCTATCATTTTTCTTTCATCGCCCGCTGCGTCGTGCTAATTTCAAGCTGAACCCTCTTTGTAAGGCCCCAGGTTTCTGCACCGTAGGCAAATACCGGTAAGATGCGGCTGTTATATTCCTTTCTCTTGAGAGATAGTGGCAATCCACCATTCGATCATGATTCGAGAATTCTGGCAGAATGTGTTCCACCCCGTTATTATTCTTCTAGTTATTTTAATCTTGTGGTGCGGCTCCACGGTTACTACTTGTCCTAGGCAGACGCACTTTTTGCGACTTCAAGTTCCAACATGATTCGCTTTGTGGATGTGGCGGTGATTTTTTTCGTGTAGCAGCGCTCCGCCAGAGTGACACTTTGTGTGTACTCGCTCAAAATGCACTTATGTTGCCACGTGTGACGGGGGTATTGGGACCCCTGTCAATGGAGTATGGTGGTAGTATTAGGAGAAAAAGGGGGAGGGGCTGCTGGGACGTTCACGCCCCTCCTCCTCTTGGAAGTATAACAAATACCCGGTGGCATTTTTCGAAAGACCTTAGGACACCAGCTATTTACAGAAACCGTATGTGCCATATATGCCTAGTGTCCTAAGTGTAGGATGGCGAAACCTTTCAATGTAACTCGAATGTTTTTTTTTTCTGTAAAAAAGGTAACGCCACATAAGGTGTATTTATGATGCCCTGTCTTCGTCAGATGCAAGTCTAGGTGATCGCTGGGCTACAAATAGCCACGTGCTTGCAGTGGCTATTTCACGCGCGCGAAATCGAGTGCCATAGCGCAAAAAAATATTGTTCTAGAATTGTTCTAATTTGTTCTAAAATTTGCTCTAAATTTGTTCTAAAATTTGTTCTAAAATTTGTTCTAAAATTGTTCTAGATGCTGCTGATACACTTGTCGATTGTTCGTCGGTAATTGGGTGTGCAATAATTTACGTATGACAGTGATAGGCGATAATGGTTTTTGTTCATGGCGTGTCAAACATCCGTGTCCTACATATAGGACGGCTCTAAAACCGTTGTTCGAAACAGTGTCTTTTTTAAAATAAAAACCTTATTCTGTTTTATGAGGTCGTAGAAGCAATCATTTTGGGGAAATAAGTTAGTTTTGCTAATTTACCTAACTTTAGGCATATATGAGTCAATTGTTTTTTCAACGAACATGTGGTGACTTGCAGTGAAGACATCTTTCGCGCGAGAAACTTGATTAATGGCTGCTCTCAGGATGTTTTCCGTGTCTACATTGCATCAGCGTTTCCTGCGTGCACACAAATAACAATATTGCCACGTGACGCCTGCATTTGGTCACTGCAGACGCGCTATCATTTGTTGCATCTGTGAGTTTCGTTTCACGCATTGACATGGGCTCACTGTGTTTCATGATGCTACTGCCTGTTTTTCTGAGTAACTTTTTGTGTCACGTATGGATAAGAAGGGCCACATTGTTCATGTTTTGTTTAGAGCGGAACTCCGGTGCATTTTCGATGATGATTGATTGATATATGGGGTTTAACGTCCCCAAACCACCATATGATTACGAGAGACGCCGCAGTGGAGGGCTCCGGAAATTTCGACCACCTGGGGTTCTTTAACGTGCACCGAAATCTGAACACACGGGCCTACAACATTTCCGCCTCCATCGGAAATGCAGCCGCCGCAGCCGGGATTCAGGCCTGCGACTGCGGGTTAGCAGCCGAATACCTTAGCCAATAAACCACTGCAGCGGGGCTCCGGTGAATTTTCGACCATATTGAGATAACGCTGCTATCAAATAGTATTGACACTCCTGTAAAAGCTATATAGGGTGGTTCATTTTGCCGCCCGTTAAAAATTTGAATTAGGCAATTAATGGTGAGTCGAAACAGAAACCGAAACTGGGATCTGCTCCATCGCCCATGGTGGGTATCAGATGACGTCACGAGATCCATCACCGGTGATGTCACGAGATCCGATGCACCCCGCCACGGCTGGCTTCAGTGTAAACATAGCGCGAAAAGCAAGCTAGCAATGTCATCCGACCCGGAATAAAGCTGAGATAGCTCTTTTGAACTGATTAGTGACAAGTTCAGCGATGAGTGCAGGTGCTATCTAAGCGCGGAAGCATGGCTTTTTGCTTGCGGCCCACCGGTGCGTGAAGCACCTGACATGCCTCGAATCGATTTCCTCGTTGCTCAATGTTGTAAAACCCGACGTCAGCGATGACTAACACGCTGTATGCAGCTGACAAAACTCAATCGTGCTCGCGTTGTCATCGCCTCGCAGAAGAAAGCACGCGCTGCATCCGTCTCCTGGGAAAGGCGGGGTTTTTGAAAAAGAATAGGCCTTGACGTCACATACCCAGGGTGGCCCGCGTTTACAAGGGTAATTCGAAAATCAGCTACAAAACTTAAAACTTGTTTTCTAAAAAAAAAACTATGTGGCTTACGGTTGTATAATTTGGCTCATATCACTACGGCACCGACAAGAACAAGTTTTATTGAAATCGGAGAATATAGAAAAAACGCGGTGGATGTATTCCTCTTACGCCCACCAAGATTGCCGACGTTACCTCCGGAGATTGCGAGCACATGTCAGACAAAATAAAGTGGCTTTCTCCAAGAACGTCTTCTGGTTTCGAGACTACGTGGCAAAATTGACCGGCACTGTACACGTGTCTCGCTCCGAGTAAATTCGGCTCCGAAACACTGTGCCAGATCTTCTTCCAAACAAACTTTCTGCTGCTTCGAAAATCGCTGGACATCATAATCTGGCTAGACCAACACTGGCTTCAGGGAAACGCTATGGCCGCGGCGCTTTCACGAAACAAGCAGCGGCTCCAACTGTGGTAGGGAAGTGAATATATATATATATATATATATATATATATATATATATATATATATATTGTAACGACGGTAGTGGGCATGGAGCTCGAGGATAGAAAAAGAAGAAGACTTGCTGTGATCGCAGGCTTGCGTTCAGTTAGCCCTTGCGCTAAATAAAGCTCTCCTTCGCCGAGTTCGCCTGCTTGTTCAACAACCCGTTTCAAGTGGTGGAGGTGCTGGGCACATCTGGTCCTCACCCTGGAACTTCGCAGCCGCACACTCCAACGACCTCCTACAATGACTGATCCGGGGCCATCTCATGCTGCTACTCCAGATCTCGCACTGTGCCTGTCTTCTGCGCTGGCGCTCTCCGGCAGCGCGACCCCCCCATATTCGGTGGCACAGAGGACCAAGATGTGGACAACTGGATTGCCGAGTATGAACTGGTGAGCGCCGTCAATAA